CCTACAACTAGAGTAGTACAATATTAAAAGCATACCCACAGTGTACTAAACACTCCTGGCCATTATAAAGAAATGCAATAAAAGCATTTCTGTCATAGCTAAATCATTCCATAGGACAACTGCATGATACTCTCCTTTGCATTCCTTTACCAACCATCCTCCAAAGCAAACGAACCCAAGATGCAATAAATTGCTCTGAGGAACAATCCTCTCTCTACCTGTACTATTTGGCAACACTTATGCACCACCTACCTTCATCTAAAACACAGCATGCTGGATTTCAGAGCTTGTTACTTCAATAGGAGCAGTATCAAGCTAAAATACAGTAATAGAGGTTGAAAAACATACAATCTGAAAACCTGGCACCTAACAGCTAGTTTTCAGGAGAGCACCACAGCAATATCAGGAAGAATATTTTCAACAAAGCAAGTGGGTGGAGAACAGCATGAAGGCATTTCAGCTGCCTTGACAGAACTGGACCAAAAGGACAGCTGACCAAGACCAAAAATAACAAGATAATCCTTCCATTCCTCTCTTGGGGAGAATAAGGTGACTGCTGGTGGTGGAGCCGGAAGCTGGTCTTTCTGCCTGGCTATATGACTAATCCAAATATTTACATCAAAGCAACTCTGCTGATTACTGCGAGGGAGCAAAAAAGTGGGCTCTGGCCGAGAGAAACTACTAGACCTGAAACAGGAGCCTGGGAAAATCCAGGGCTACCCTGATAACTCTTCCTGACCTGGAGGAAGGAGGGGAAGAAGGTGCCCAAGCAGAAGTTTCCCTGCAACCCATGGCGAGATGGCAGCTATCCCCCTGCACTCATGGAGGAACATGGTGGAACATTCCCTGAAGGCACCAGGAGGGGTGAGCTTGGCCAGTGGACTTGGATCTTGTGGTCAGTGGACTTGGATTATGCAGCTGTGGAAGACCCCGGCACCAGGGGAGTTTGTTCCCGAAGCACCCCGTGATTCTGTGGGAAGCCCAGGCTGGAGCAGTTTGCTCTGGACCTTGTGGGAAGGACTCATGAAGGAGAGGTTGGTGGAGGACTTAATGGAGAAGCAGGGAAGAACCCTCCTTGCCCTTTGTCTTAATCCAGGAGCTTCTAGTTGGCCTTTGTCCTCTCCATCCCAGTGTGTGTGTGTGTGTGTGAGGGGGGTAGTTGAGTGAGCAGCCATGGGGCTGGTTCTTTGTTGTGTTAGGCCCAAACCACAACATTATTGGTGAGCCAGGCAGGAGAGAGACAAACCATGACACACCTGTATGTACTCCTGTTTCCTCCAGTGTTGTTGTTTTTTGTGTAAAAAACATTTTTCCCTGTTCTTCTCATTTTAATGTTTGAACCCTGTGCAGAGGGAGCCCCCCAAGACATGCTGTTAGACCCTGTAGGTATATGGCTGAAGTCTGTAACATCCATATTCCAAAACATTTTCATAGTAAAACTGCTGCTGAAAATTCTGCAAGACATTTTGATATTCACAAACTATCCTGCAGGAAAACAGTGTCCTAAAACAGCCTTTATTTCTGTGGCAAATGGGCACCCTAATGCATGCTTTCCTGGCTCATCTATTTGTTTATATTGTGCAGGAAATCTGTGAGAATCCACGGTTTATTATCGGTGGAGCCAACAGAACAGATATTTGCCAGGGAGAATTAGGTAAGAAATTCAATTCTTCATTTCTTAAAGTCTGCATCACTTAATTTTCTTTTTCTTCCAAGGTGATATTTGAAGTCCTCCATCTCAGTATACCACACACATCTACTGATTCCTCTCTGTAGAAAATCATTTATACCTGTCTAGTAGCAATTTAGGGAAGAACTTTAAGCAAAACATGCTTTGCAGAGTGTTTTGCTTTTCATAAACCAATAACACGAGTGTGTTACAAAGCACCATTTGGCCTCTCTTTCTGGCTTTGAGGAGGAACAAAATTAGTTAAGACAAGAATAAGAGATAAAGAAAGGGAGTTATTTGACAGAGAAAAATCAAATAAGTTACTGTTGTATTTTTTCAGACATTTAGTCCTGTTATTTCCATGCAGGAGTTCCTGAAGGCTTCCAGCTAAGTGTGCCTTGCATTCAAGGACAATCCCTGTATTGAAGACCTTAAACTTAGACGCTCGAAGATACTTTTATATATAGAGCCTCTATAAGGTACAAGTGATGCCACTGTAGCAGTTGTCCATGCAGCAGCACTCACCTGTGTTGCTTTGTACAGTCATTCCCCACTCAGCTTTCCCACCTCTTTCATGGTTTTACAACTTATCCTGTAATCTTTTTCCTAAGCTAGTATATCCTGATTTAATGAATAACATTTAAGTGTTATTCTGTGCTTGTGACTGTCCTCATCACCTTCCCTGTACTTTTTTTTTTTAAAAAAACAACAACAACTCCTTTTCTTCTTGAGATTACCAGAATTTAACAGTTGCCAAGGTGTGGACACAAATTAATTTCCATGCATAATATGTTCTCTCTTTTATCTTCTATTCCTTCCCCAAGTACACATAGTATTGTTTACCTTTTTGACTTCTGCTGAACATTGGATAGTTTAGAAATCTCTTGTTCACAGTGGACCCCACATCCTTCCCAGGGGGAAACAGGTAACTTAGAATGTACTGCTATGTACATAATTAGGTAATTTAACAGCTATATCCGTAGAGTTGTCTTTCCAAAACATAGACGTACATGTATTTCTTTATGTTTTATCACTTCACCAGTTTAATACATTTCTTTTACAACTCCCTGCAAGCATGTTTAGTTTTCACTACTTTATAGAATTCTCTCCCCCCACTAATTGACACTGCTCAAGTAAGCTTAGTCTGTAACCTGCCTTACAGTAGCAGCTAGGAGGATTTGATTAAGGGTTGAGGCATCCTTTACTGAACACAGATTACTATGGGAGAAAGTAACTTCCCCAGAGCTCCCACAGAGGCTGCAAACTTGTGCAAGACTCTGAATGAGGAACTGAGAAGCACTAAAGGGGACAGTGTTTACAACAGCACAGACACAGATTAAAAAAAGAGGAAAACACATCAGAGCAATGAGGCAGGAAAGAGGCTCCACAGAATGGGACAGGGTTTTTATCTTGAGAGCGGAAAATGAGAGAATGAACCTCAGTAACCTGTGTTACCTCTCAGCTGGTCTCTGTCCTAAGCTTGGAAGGAGAACTAACACAGAAAATCAGAGAGGCATTCACATGGGACGGGGAAATCTTTACACAGGTAACAGTGCTCATCAGATTTGGGACTTTTTCTAAATTACAGGGAACATAATCTATTTAGCAGGCTAGTACCCAGCCATGAATGGTGCCAATAAGCATTTAGAGCACAAATAAATAAACTGCTAAAGTACTGCAGAACATATGGAGAGGAGCCCCCTCCTGAAAGGCGATGACACGCTCTGCTGAGAATTCTATGAATTAAACGATTCTATGAATTAAAGTGTCACTTTGCAGTGTCTCAGGTTTTCGTTTTGAATCTAGTTCCTTTGTCCGTTCATTTTGTCTGCTGTTTCTGCTTTTTACAGGTGACTGCTGGTTCCTGGCTGCCATTGCTTGCCTGACACTGAATAAAAAACTGCTCTGTAGAGTCATACCTCATGACCAGTCCTTTATACAAAACTATGCTGGCATATTTCACTTCCAGGTGAGTCCCTTCATCTAGCAGGAAGCAAATGTAATTAATTATCCAAGAGAAAGCTCATCTCTTGGGCACACTCTTCGCTATCATTTCTCCACCTTTGGAAGTATGAGTGACAGTGGGGAAGGAAGAAAGATTGAATTGCCTCACCCTGAACTCTTTCAACAATCACAGAAGGGCCAGCCCACACATGCAGTTAAGGGAGCATTAACCCACCAAAGAGGCATTTGCAAATCACTGTTGTCCTGTGCATAAGGGATAGGAACAGGTGCCCACTCCTGCCTCACTGCTCAGATGCAGCACTACAGCCAGCACAGACCTCGTGGTAGTTGGCAAGAGCATCCGTTCTTAGGCCCACAAGCAGCTGGTCTGTCAAAAACAAGTTACCAAAGAACTGCTTATTTAGAAAAGACTGACTGCTTTCCACATTTTCCTTGGCTCTCCTGAGGGACTTTTCACTGCCCCGTATGTGTTGCCTGGGGGAAATCAGTCTGGCGTCCACCCTCCCAATGGCCATCACTTTTTACCACATTACACAGCAGCTAATTTCCACATTCCTCTATCAACCAGGCTCCCCCTCCCTGCAACAAGTCAACACAGTTTTTTGTTTCTGTTTGCCTTTGTTCAGTTCTGGCGCTACGGAGACTGGGTGGATGTCGTCATCGATGACTGCTTGCCCACGTACAACAACCAGCTGGTCTTTACCAAGTCCTCCCAGCGCAATGAATTCTGGAGTGCCCTCCTGGAAAAGGCCTATGCAAAGTAAAATCACTTGCTGAACCTCCCCTGCCGAGGCTTTGGCTGGGGAGGCAGATAAACCACCACATTTGGGACTTACAATGAGAATGTAGAGAGGCTCTGAACACACCAGGGCCTTTGTCCATAGATTCCTGTGCCTCACAATTGGGGATGGGTTAAAGCCTATTTTCCAGTGGTTTTTGCTACTCAATCACAGATCTATATTTGTCCTTGTTGTTGTTTTTTTTTTATGTGTGCAGGTTTTAAAACTTTACCTTGTAGGTTACAAAACAGATGGTTTGTGGGTTTGGGTTTTTTAAATGATGTGTGTTTCCATATCTTTATTTATATACACACACAAGATAAATATATATTATGTATAAAAAATGTACATAGGTAGATATAATTGGACATTAGGAAAAAGTTCTTTAATATGAGGGTGGTGGATCACTGGAACATGTTGCCTAGAGAGGTGGTGGGGGCCCCATCCCTGGAGACATTCAAGGTCAGGCTTGGTGGGGCTCTGAGCAATCTGTTCTAGTTGAAGATGTCCCTTTCTTATTGTAGGGGGGTTGGACTAGATGCCCTTTAGAGGTTCCTTCAACCTAAGACATTGTATGATTCTATGATCATTATCTGTGTAAAAGAGGATCTTACTTTTCCTTTTCTAAGACTCCATGGATCATATGAAGCTTTGAAAGGAGGCAACACCACTGAAGCCATGGAGGACTTCACTGGAGGAGTCACTGAGTTCTATGAGATCAAGGATGCCCCTAAAGATATATATAAAATCATGAAACATGCCATTGACAGAGGATCCCTCATGGCCAGCTCCATTGATGTGAGTCCATATGAACTTTGCAGATGAGCCATAAGAAATAGAGGAGAGGGACCTCTCCATCTATAATCAAATATATGCTGTCTTTTGGAATTTCTTGGTTTAGCTTCTGTAGCAAACATCCATTTCTAGGAGATGCAGTAGTCTCTACTAGACACCTCCCATTAGCAAATAGCAAGTGCCAAAAGGGAAACAAACAGAAGGTGGGGTGAAGAGGTGTGATCAGCAAAACCAGCACCCCTCAACCTCAGTACCCTCACCCAACGAACTGAGGTTGGTATGGGGGTGCTGCAACTCTATTAAGACATAAATCCTCATGTCAAAGATGCTGAATGTGCAATTGTTTGGGAAATCAATCCTTCAATTGCCTTCATTTGCTGGTGTTAATTTCAAAGTGAAAGGAAAAGACTAGCTTCAGTAACCTTTATGAAGTCGCAGTAAAGGCAGAAGAACAACCAATTCTATCAAGCACTGTAGGTAAGTATGGATCACCTAGTGTGCAATGAGAGAGCAGTTATTTAGGATATCTTTCATCGCTTATCTTGTAGGATTTCATATCTCTCTCACTGCCTCATCTTCCTGAATGAAGCTTTTCTCCCATTCTCTGTGCCAGGATAACCTAGGCTTTTCCTACGGATCAGCTCCTCGGAGTGACATTGGGGAATTGGTTGCTCGAATGGTGAAGAATCTCGAAAACGCACAGATGACTCACTCAGCTGTAGACTACCAGGGGACAGATGAAAGGCCAGCCTGGGTTCGTATGTTTCCAGAAGTGGTTAACTTCACAATGCTTTTGGTTACAGCCAGAACAGTTAGAGAAAGGTATTATCTATGTTTTAAAATCCTTATTTGGTTTCACTGAGTTATCTCACCACTAAAGACCTGTTTTATGGATGCTACTTGACATATATAGGAAAGGATTTTGGTGCTTTCACAGTGACAGATACTAGAGGGCTTTGCTGATAATGAGGCAAAGGGCTGTTGGCTTGTGGAAAAGGCTTACAATTTTCAGAGCTTACCTGTACAGTAGAAATGGAGAGAAAAATCATAGCAAGTATGTCAAAGAGGCACATTGGTTATTGTGTTTGGGAACTGGACATGAATAGTGGGTTTTATAAAGTGCCTCACTTGCAAAGAATGGAAAGA